AAAAATAAGCCCTATTTGCAGCAACATTGAGGACATTATGAGATTGCACCGACAATCAATAAACCACCAAAACCCTTTATTCGTTTTGATAAATATAGAGGACTTCATCAGATGATTCCGGCTGGGATCGAACCGGCGGCCTTCTGCGTGTGAAGCAGATGTGATAACCAATACACCACGGAACCTACAAAAACAAAACGCATTTGCAGCACACATCGCCAATATTTAATAAAGGCTTAGAATAAATATTAAAGACTTCGGTGCATAATTCATCGTGAGATTGCACCGACAGTCAATAAACCACCAAAAACCTTCATTGGTTTTGAACTAATATAGAGGATTTCATTATATGATTCCGGCCGGGATCCAACCGGCGGCCTTCTGCGTGTGAAGCAGATGTGATAACCACTACACCACGGAACCTAAAAAATCAAAACGCATTTGCAGCACGCATCGCCAATATTTAATAAAGGCTTAGAATAAATATTAAAGACTTCGGTGTATGATTCATCGTGAGATTGCACCGACAGTCAATAAACCACCAAAAAACTTCATTGGTTTTGAACTAATATAGAGGATTTCATTATATGATTCCGGCCGGGATTGAACCGGCGGCCTTCTGCGTGTGAAGCAGATGTGATAACCGCTACATCACGGAACCTACAAAAATAAATCCTATTTGCAGCAATATTGATTACATTATGAGATTGCACCGACAATCCAAAAACCACCAAAACCCTTTATTCGTTTTGGTAAATATAGAGGACTTCATTAGATGATTCCGGCTGGGATCGAACCGGCGGCCTTCTGCGTGTTAAGCAGATGTGATAACCACTACACCACGAAACGTACAAAAATAAAACGCATTTGCAGCAGGCATCGCTAATATTTAATAAGAGCTTAGAATAAAATATTGAAGACTTTGATGTATGATTCATCGTACGTATGTTGCACCGACAGTCAATAAACCACCAAAAGCCTTTATTGGATTTGAATAAATATAGAGGATTTCATTAGATGATTCCGGCCGGGATCGAACCGGCGGCCTCCTGCGTGTTAAGCAGATGTGATAAAAATAGAACGCATTTGCAGCAATATTGAGGACATCGATGTAAGATTCATCATGAGATTGCACCGACAATCAATAAACCACCAAAACACTTTATTCGTTTTGATAAATATAGAGGACTTCATTAGATGATTCCGGCCGGGATCAAACCTGCGGCCTTCTGCGTGTAAAGCAGATGTGATAACCACTACACCACGGAACCTACAAAAATAAAACGCATTTGCAGCACGCATCGCCAATCTATATATATAAAAGAGGATCGCTTTATGTTGTAACAATTATAACTCACGAACGGCTGAACCGATTTAGATGAAATTGGCAGGGAGGTAGTTTAGAGCCAGGAGAAGGACATGAAATACTTTTTATCCCGTTTTTCATTCTAATTCAGAAATAATTATTTATAAACTATCCATGTAGTTTATTCAATCTATGATACTATCAATGATTTCATCCATGACATTTACAATCGATTGTCAACTGTCATTCGGTGTTTCTGTTTTGATACAAATATGCATTTATTATTATTATGAATTAATATGCATTTTTTAATCACTACTATTTGAAAATTATTACGTGAATAATATAAATTTTTTAATCACCACGGAAAATTAATACGAAGTGGCAAATAAATTAATTCTTAATAATAGCAAACGAAGCCAGATGGACGATGGGGAAATTTATTTCTTGAAAATGGGAATGTAATTATTTATATACTTAGGTATTTATGTATATTTGTTTATACGTATTTAAATAAAGTATTTGAGGTGTTAATATTATATATATCAGCAATAAGTATAATCATCAACAAATTAATAAAAAAATATTTTGAAATATAGTTTCTTAACATAACCTCAGAATTTGTAATAAAAATGTAAATAGTTATATATTAATTGTTGTTAATTTATAATTTCTTTATACATATCTTATACAATTTTTCAGGTGTTTACAACTAATTGGCATATATATTATCAGCAAATGTGCTTTGATTGGACAATAAAGAGTTGAAATTACTTGGCTGCCTTTTGTTAAATATAGTGATAGAATATTAGTTCTTGGTTCTCATATATTATAACCCAGCTATAAACCTCATGGAGCCCCAGACCTTTCCAACGAATGCAAAATCGTCGAATTCGGTTCGTGCATTCTGGAGTTATATCGTCAGAAAGAAAAACCCGACTTATTTTTATGTAATAGATATATATATAAAAGTCATGTTAATTACTCCACTTACAACTCAAGAAGGCTGAACCGATTTAACTGAAAATTGGCTTTGGTAAAGTTGGTAAAAGTTGGTAGTTCAGAGCCAGGCGAAGGACATAGGATACTTTTTATCCCGTTCAACTTGGAATAACAAAACGTAAATGACAGCTATGTAATCACGTATGGATAACAATTTGATATTTGTAGGGAATCAATAATATAATTATTTATTTTAAATAAATAATTAACAATTATAATATAATGATAGTGCCATTGCTCATTCGTATAAACAGTGAAGCGAACTATAAAACTCAGTATGGTTGACAAATCATATTTTTCTCAAACCACGGTGCTCTGAAAGAACTCATTTGTATAATTATATACTCATTGGTATTTATAAAACATTTTCTAGATTATATTATTTATTTATTTATGTTATTTAAATTCAGAACCTAAATTTGGAATCGATCAAAGGTACATTTTGTCGAATGACTTATTCCCAGTTATAATGTCTCGAATTTATCGAAGAATGGATAGTAATATACAAAGATCTACGACCAAAGTGTCAAAAACCAGTAAAGCTAAGCATTGTTTAACAACACTATTTGAAAGTAAAGGGAAAAAGATGTATAACCAGCTATAACCTTGATTCTTATGACTTTGGTATTGGGAGATAAATGGTAATCTTTGAAAATCCATAATAGAAGTATTTTCTTCCGTTGGTAGTTTTTTAGCAATTAGTTAAAAATGTAATTATTTTGTAAAATACTTTTGAAATTAAAATATGACATTAGACCTGTTTGCCATCTGGCCATTCCAAGTAACCCCGTTATAGGGTAAAAAGGTCTAGATAAAATTTTTAAAGACAGCAAAAAAAACAAAATGATGATGTAGCTGGTAGTTTTACTGAACGTAGTCAGATAATTGTTCGTTTGAAATGTGTCATTTGTTGTGATATAATTGGTTTGATTTTCATAATAAAATTTATATTTGCTTAAAGTCAAATTGGACATTTGTGCCTTGCCCTGTTCTACATATATACTTTTTATTAAATTTACTTTAATTCGTCGAATGTTACTTGAAACTTTTCAAAAAGCAGGTCAAAGAAAAGATACTTAATTCATTTTCTATCTCTTCTCGCAGAAATTTGAAAACTTTGTATAAGCTCAATAGTATTATTTACAATTATACACAAAATCCAGAATCCAAAAAAATTTTTTGAAAAATTCGAAACACAATCAATAATCGATTAAATGGAATTTGTAATGACTATATAAGTCGAAAGACCAAAAAAGACTTGGAATGGATTATGCCATGTTTTCTATAGAAAGTGTATAAAACTTTCAGTTTGGATGTATTAATAAAATATAGACAAACTAATGGGGTTTATTGTTTCTATAATACCTCATTGTATATAGCATTCAAACAACACATCCTTACACAAAAAGTATTATTTTTTTTTTTGATTCTCTAGAAATTGTTTATAAAATACCTTACTTAGCAAAACAACGTTTGCCGGGTCAGCTAGTATTTAATAAAAGCTTAGAATAAATATTGAAGACTTCGATGTATGATTCATCGTGAGATTGCACCGGCAGTCAATAAACCACCAAAAGCCTTCATTGGATTTGAATAAATATAGAGGATTCCATTAGAGGATTCCGGCGGCCTTCTGCGTGTAAAGCAGATGTGATAACAACCACACCACGGAACATACAAAAACAAAACGCATTTGTAGCAGACATCGCCAATATTAAATAAAAGCTTAGAATAAATATTGAAGACTTCGATATATGATTCATCGTGAGATTGCACCGACAGTCAATAAACCACCAAAAGCCTTCATAGGATTTGAATGAATATAGAGAATTTCATTAGATGATTCCGGCCGGGATCGAATCGGCGGCCTTTTGCGTGTTAAGCAGATGTGATAACTACTACACCACGAAACCTACAAAAATAAAACGCATTTGCAGCAATATTGAGGACATCGATGTACGATTCATCATGAGATTGCACCGACAATCAATAAACCACCAAAACCCTTCATTCGTTTTGATAAATATACAGGATTTCATTAGATGATTCTGGCCGGGATCGAACCGGCGGCCTTCTGCGTGTTAAGCAGATGTGATAACCACTACACAACGAAACCTACAAAAACAAAACGCATTTGCAGCAGGCATCGCCAATATTTAATAAAAGCTCAGAATAAATATTGAAGATTTTGATGTATGATTCATCGCGAGATTGCACCGACAGTCAATAAACCACCAAAAGTCTTTATTGGATTTGAATAAATATAGAGGATTTCATTATATGATTCCGGCCGGGATCGAACCGGCGGCCTACACCATGGAACCTACAAAAATAAATCTCATTTGCAGCAATATTGAGAACATCACTGTAAGATTCATCATAAGATTGCTCCGACAATCAATAAACCACCAAGACCCTTTATTCGTTCTGATAAATATAGAGGATTTCATTAGATGATTCCGGCTGGGATCGAGTCGGCAGCCTTCTGCGTGTTAAGCAAATGTGATAACCACTGCACCACGGAACCTACAAAAATAAAACGCATTTGCAGCACGCATCGCCAATATTTAATAAAAGCTTAGAATAAACATTGAAGACTTCGATATATGATTCATCGTGAGATTGCACCGACAGTCAACAAACCACCAAAAGCCTTTATTGGATTTGAATAAGTATAGAGGATTTTATTATATGATGCCGGCCGGGATCGAACCGGGCGCCTTCTGCGTGTAAAGCAGATGCGATAACCACTACGCCACGGAACCTACAAAATTAAAACCCATTTGCAGCAATATTGAGGACATCATGAGATTGCACCGACAATCAATAAACCACCAAAACCCTTTATTGGTTTTGAATATATGTAGAGGATTTTATTAGATGATACCGGCCGGGATCAAACCGGCGGCCTTGGAACCTACAAAAATAAATCTCATTTGCAGCAATATTGATGACATCACTGTAAGATTCATCAGGAGATTACAACGACAATCAATAAACCAACAAAACCCTTTATTTGTTTTCAATAAATGTAGAGGATTTCATGAGATGATTCCGGCCGGGATCGAACCGGCGGCGTTCTGCGTGTAAAGCAGATGTGATAACCACTACACCACGGAACCTACAAAAATATAACGCATTTGTAGCACGCATCGCTAATATTTAATAAAAGCTCAGAAAAAATATTGAAGACTTTGATGTATGATTCATCGTGAGATTGCACCGACAGTCAATAAACTACCAAAAGCCTTTATTGGATTTGAATAAATATAAAGGATTTCATTATATGATTCCGGCCGGGATCGAACAGGCGGCCTACACCATGGAACCTACAAAAATAAATCTCATTTGCAGCAATACTGAGAACATCACTGTAAGATTCATCATGAGATTGCACCGACAATCAATAAACCACCAAAACCCTTTATTCGTTGTGAATAAATGTAGAGGATTTCATTAGATGATTCCGGCCGGCATCGAACCGGCGGCCTTCTGCGTGTAAAGCAGATGTGATAACCACTACACCACGAAACCTACAAAAATAAAACGCATTTGCAGCACGCATCGCCAATATTCAATAAAGGCTTAGAATAAATATTAAACTTCGGTGTAAGATTCATCGTGAGATTGCACCGACAGTCAATAAACCACCAAAAATCTTTATTGGTTTTGAACTAATATAGAGGATTTCATTATATGATTCCGGCGGGGATCGAACCAGCGGCCTTCTGCGTGTGAAGCAGATGTGATAACCGCTACACCACGAAACCCACAAAAATAAGTCCTATTTGCAGCAATATTGAGGACATTATGAGATTGCACCGACAATCAATAAACCACCAAAAACCCTTTATTCGTTTTGATAAAAATAGAGGACTTCATTAGATGATTCCGGCTGGGATCGAACCGGCGGCCTTCTGCGTGTGAAGCAGATGTGATAACCAATACACCACGGAACCTACAAAAACAAAACGCATTTGCAGCACGCATCGCCAATATTTAATAAAGGCTTAGAATAAATATTAAAGACTTTGGTGCATAATTCATCGTGAGATTGCACCGACAGTCAATAAACCACCAAAAACCTTCATTGGTTTTGCACTAATATAGAGGATTTCATTATATGATTCCGGCCGGGATCCAACCGGCGGCCTTCTGCGTGTGAAGCAGATGTGATAACCACTACATCACGGAACCTAAAAAATCAAAACGCATTTGCAGCACGCATCGCCAATATTTAATAAAGGCTTAGAATAAATATTAAAGACTTCGGTGTATGATTCATCGTGAGATTGCAACGACAGTCAATAAACCACCAAAAATCTTCATTGGTTTTGAACTAATATAGAGGAATTCATTATATGATTCCGGCCGGGATTGAACCGGCGGCTTTCTGCGTGTGAAGCAGATGTGATAACCGCTACACCACGGAACCTACAAAAATAAATCCTATTTGCAGCAATATTAAGGACATTATGAGATTGCACCAAAACCCTTTATTGGTTTTGAATAAATGTAGAGGATTTCATTAGATGATTCCGGCCGGTATCGAACCGGCGGCCTTCTGCGTGTAAAACAGATGTGATAACCACTACACCACGGAACCTACAAAAATAAAACGCATTTGTAGCACGCATCGCTAATATTTAATAAAAGCTCAGAAAAAATATTGAAGACTTTGATGTATGATTCATCGTGAGATTGCACCGACAGTCAATAAACTACCAAAAGCCTTTATTGGATTTGAATAAATATAGAGGATTTCATTATATGATTCCGGCCGGGATCGAACAGGCGGCCTATACCATGGAACCTACAAAATTAAATCTCATTTGCAGCAATATTGAGAACATCACTGTAAGATTCATCAATACAATCAATAAACCACCAAAACCCTTTATTCGTTTTGAATAAATCTAGAGGATTTCATTAGATGATTCCGGCCGGGATGGAACCGGCGGCCTTCTGCATGTAAAGCAGGTGTGATAACCACTACACCACGGAACCTACAAAAATAAAACGCATTTGCAGCACGCATCGCCAATATTTAATAAAAGCTCAGAATAAATATTGAAGACTTCGATGTATGATTCATCGTGAGATTGCACCGACAGTCAATAAACCACCAAAAATCTTCATTGGTTTTGAATTAATATAGAGGATTTCATTATATGATACCGGCCGGGATCGAACCGGCGGCCTTCTGCGTGTGTAGGGGATACGATAACCACTACACCACGGAACCTACAAAAATAAAACCCATTTGCAGCAATATTGAGGACATCATGAGATTGCACCGACAATCAATAAACACCAAAACCCTTTATTGGTTTTGAATAAATGTAGAGGATTTCATTAGACGATTCCGGCCGGGATCGAACCGGCGGCCTTCTGCGTGTTAAGCAGATGTGATAACCACTACACCACGGAATCTACAAAAATAATTCCCATTTGCAGCAATATTGAGGACATCGATGTAAGATTCATCATGAGATTGCACCGACAATCAATAAACCACCAAAACCCTTCATTCGTTTTGATAAATATAGAGGATTTCATTAGATGATTCCGGCCGGGATCGAACCGGCGGCCTTCTGCGTGTTAAGCAGATGTGATAACCACTACACCACGGAAACTAAAAAAACAAAACGCATTTGCAGCACGCATCGCCAATATTTAGTAAAGGCTTAGAATTAATATTAAAGACTTCGGTGTATGATTCATCGTGAGATTGCACCGACAGTCAATAAACCACCAAAAATCTTCATTGGTTTTGAACTAATATAGAGGATTTCATTATATGATTCCGGCCGGGATTGAACCGGCGGCCTTCTGCGTGTAAAGCAGATGTGATAACCACTACACCACGGAACCTACAAAAATAAAACGCATTTGCAGCAGGCATCGCTAATATTTAATAAGAGCTTAGAATAAAATATTGAAGACTTTGATGTATGATTCATCGTACGTATGTTGCACCGACAGTCAATAAACCACCAAAAGCCTTTATTGGATTTGAATAAATATAGAGGATTTTATTAGATGATTCCGGCCGGGATCGAACCGGCGGCCTCCTGCGTGTTAAGCAGATGTGATAAAAATAGAACGCATTTGCAGCAATATTGAGGACATCGATGTAAGATTCATCATGAGATTGCACCGACAATCAATAAACCACCAAAACACTTTATTCGTTTTGATAAATATAGAGGACTTCATTAGATGATTCCGGCCGGGATCAAACCTGCGGCCTTCTGCGTGTAAAGCAGATGTGATAACCACTACACCACGGAACCTACAAAAATAAAACGCATTTGCAGCACGCATCGCCAATCTACATATATAAAAGAGGATCGCTTTATGTTGTAACAATTATAACTCACGAACGGCTGAACCGATTTAGATGAAAATTGGCAGGGAGGTAGTTTAGAGCCAGGAGAAGGACATGAAATACTTTTTATCCCGTTTTTCATTCTAATTCAGAAATAATTATTTATAAACTATCCATGTAGTTTATTCAATCTATGATACTATCAATGATTTCATCCATGACATTTACAATCGATTGTCAACTGTCATTCGGTGTTTCTGTTTTGATACAAATATGCATTTATTATTATTATGAATTAATATGCATTTTTTAATCACTACTATTTGAAAATTATTACGTGAATAATATAAATTTTTTAATCACCACGGAAAATTAATACGAAGTGGCAAATAAATTTATTCTTAATAATAGCAAACGAAGCCAGATGGACGATGGGGAAATTTATTTCTTGAAAATGGGAATGTAATTATTTATATACTTAGGTATTTATGTATATTTGTTTATACGTATTTAAATAAAGTATTTGAGGTGTTAATATTATATATATCAGCAATAAGTATAATCATCAACAAATTAATAAAAAAATATTTTGAAATATAGTTTCTTAACATAACCTCAAAATTTGTAATAAAAATGTAAATAGTTATATATTAATTGTTGTTAATTTATAATTTCTTTATACATATCTTATACAATTTTTCAGGTGTTTACAACTAATTGGCATATATATTATCAGCAAATGTGCTTTGATTGGACAATAAAGAGTTGAAATTACTTGGCTGCCTTTTGTTAAATATAGTGATAGAATATTAGTTCTTGGTTCTCATATATTATAACCCAGCTATAAACCTCACGGAGCCCCAGACCTTTCCAACGAATGCAAAATCGTCGAATTCGGTTCGTGCATTCTGGAGTTATATCGTCAGAAAGAAAAACCCGACTTATTTTTATGTAATAGATATATATATAACAGTCATGTTAATTACTCCACTTATAACTCAAGAAGGCTGAACCGATTTAACTGAAAATTGGCTTTGGTAAAGTTGGTAGTTCAGAGCCAGGCGAAGGACATAGGATACTTTTTATCCCGTTCAACTTGGAATAACAAAACGTAAATGACAGCTATGTAATCACGTATGGATAACAATTTGATATTTGTAGGGAATCAATAATATAATTATTTATTTTAAATAAATAATTAACAATTATAATATAATGATAGTGCCATTGCTCATTCGTATAAACAGTGAAGCGAACTATAAAACTCAGTATGGTTGACAAATCATATTTTTCTCAAACCACGATGCTCTGAAAGAACTCATTTGTATAATTATATACTCATTGGTATTTATAAAACATTTTCTAGATTATATTATTTATTTATTTATGTTATTTAAATTCAGAACCTAAATTTGGAATCGATCAAAGGTACATTTTGTCGAATGACTTATTCCCAGTTATAAGGTCTCGAATTTATCGAAGAATGGATAGTAATATACAAAGATCTACGACCAAAGTGTCAAAAACCAGTAAAGCTAAGCATTGTTTAACAACACTATTTGAAAGTAAAGGGAAAAAGATGTATAACCAGCTATAACCTTGATTCTTATGACTTTGGTATTGGGAGATAAATGGTAATCTTTGAAAATCCATAATAGAAGTATTTTCTTCCGTTGGTAGTTTTTTAGCAATTAGTTAAAAATGTAATTATTTTGTAAAATACTTTTGAAATTAAAATATGACATTAGACCTGTTTGCCATCTGGCCATTCCAAGTAACCCCGTTATAGGGTAAAAAGGTCTAAATAAAATTTTTAAAGACAGCAAAAAAACAAAATGATGATGTAGCTGGTAGTTTTACTGAACGTAGTCAGATAATTGTTCGTTTGAAATGTGTCATTTGTTGTGATATAATTGGTTTGATTTTCATAATAAAATTTATATTTGCTTAAAGTCAAATTGGACATTTGTGCCTTGCCCTGTTCTACATATATACTTTTTATTAAATTTACTTTAATTCGTCGAATGTTACTTGAAACTTTTCAAAAAGCAGGTCAAAGAAAAGATACCTAATTCATTTTCTATCTCTTCTCGCAGAAATTTGAAAACTTTATATAAGCTCAATAGTATTATTTACAATTATACACAAAATCCAGAATCCAAAAAAAATTTTGAAAAATTCGAAACACAATCAATAATCGATTAAATGGAATTTGTAATGACTATATAAGTCGAAAGACCAAAAAGACTTGGAATGGATTATGCCATGTTTTCTATAGAAAGTGTATAAAACTTTCAGTTTGGATGTATTAATAAAATATAGACAAACTAATGGGGTTTATTGTTTCTATAATACCTCATTGTATATAGCATTCAAACAACACATCCTTACACAAAAAGTATTATTTTTTTTTTTGATTCTCTAGAAATTGTTTATAAAATACCTTACTTAGCAAAACAACGTTTGCCGGGTCAGCTAGTATTTAATAAAAGCTTAGAATAAATATTGAAGACTTCGATGTATGATTCATCGTGAGATTGCACCGGCAGTCAATAAACCACCAAAAGCCTTCATTGGATTTGAATAAATATAGAGGATTTCATTAGATGATTCCGGCCGGGATCGAACCGGCGGCCTTCTGCGTGTAAAGCAGATGTGATAACAACCACACCACGGAACCTACAAAAACAAAACGCATTTGCAGCAGACATCGCCAATATTAAATAAAAGCTTAGAATAAATATTGAAGACTTCGATATATGATTCATCGTGAGATTGCACCGACAGTCAATAAACCACCAAAAGCCTTCATAGGATTTGAATGAATATAGAGAATTTCATTAGATGATTCCGGCCGGGATGGAATCGGCGGCCTTTTGCGTGTTAAGCAGATGTGATAACTACTACACCACGAAACCTACAAAAATAAAACGCATTTGCAGCAATATTGAGGACATCGATGTACGATTCATCATGAGATTGCACCGACAATCAATAAACCACCAAAACCCTTCATTCGTTTTGATAAATATACAGGATTTCATTAGATGATTCTGGCCGGGATCGAACCGGCGGCCTTCTGCGTGTTAAGCAGATGTGATAACCACTACACAACGAAACCTACAAAAACAAAACGCATTTGCAGCAGGCATCGCCAATATTTAATAAAAGCTCAGAATAAATATTGAAGATTTTGATGTATGATTCATCGCGAGATTGCACCGACAGTCAATAAACCACCAAAAGTCTTTATTGGATTTGAATAAATATAGAGGATTTCATTATATGATTCCGGCCGGGATCGAACCGGCGGCCTACACCATGGAACCTACAAAAATAAATCTCATTTGCAGCAATATTGAGAACATCACTGTAAGATTCATCATAAGATTGCTCCGACAATCAATAAACCACCAAGACCCTTTATTCGTTCTGATAAATATAGAGGATTTCATTAGATGATTCCGGCTGGGATCGAGTCGGCAGCCTTCTGCGTGTTAAGCAAATGTGATAACCACTACACCACGGAACCTACAAAAATAAAACGCATTTGCAGCACGTATCGCCAATATTTAATAAAAGCTTAGAATAAACATTGAAGACTTCGATGTATGATTCATCGTGAGATTGCACCGACAGTCAACAAACCACCAAAAGCCTTTATTGGATTTGAATA